GCATTCGTGAATGCAATTGCCAACATGGAACGGTATATTTATTGTTTCCGCTAAATTCTTCAAAAGGTCCCTTTGTAATTTCATTTAAAAAGTAAAATACTTGATTTACATTTCAAATCATGAATGACTTGGATCCCTGTGTGAGGACATGAACGAATGAATGATTAATTGATACAGTAGCCTATATATTGACATATAGGCCTAAGTAAGTTACGGTATTAAGACTAAACAGGATGCGCTCTTAGGCCTACAGCTCGATGGTGGTTATACAAGGCTACTATACTAAACCTACTAATGACGACATTATTAATATAATGATCATAATAATAATAATTGTAATACTAACACTAATAAGAGATCAAGAAAAAGGAGGGTATAGGAGCGAGAGCTGCGTGCATATTATGTGTGACAAACAGGTGCTGTTAGAATATCATTAGAGGCTCCTCTAACGAAAATAAAGTGTAAAGCCTTTATTAAAGCATAGCAAATATTGACATGTGTTTGAATGAGGCTTGGCGCTCACAGAATCAGTAGGCAATTAAACAAACACTCAAACAGGCAACAGAAGCAGGATTTCTTATTTATTTCGATATATATGGATGATTTATAAAGTCAGGCACATTTAACAGTTAGACTATTGATTATAGCCCTAATTAAGTTGGGGTTTCCCCTCTCTTCCCTTTTCTTAGAACATTAAGGCAAGGGCTGTTTTCTCATCTCCTAATTCCCCTTCTGCCTCCTCCACTTTGTTCTCAACACCAATATGCTGGTTCACTTTGCTATTATGCACATAGCAACATGGAAAAGGCGCCAATTCAACAGCCCACTGCTGTTTCAGAACCATGGACAGTGACCGCTATTCAGCGCTGGAGAAAGCGCATGTTTTAAAATATTTTTTTTATTAGTTGCACCATTGTTCTTACGTAATATAATCATGTACAATTTCAGTAGCACATCCCCACAGCCTCCACAATGGATTAGTCCACTCAGACATGCGCGAATCAGACAGGTGTCGTGTGCACCATGACTTTTTTTGCGACTGCTCGACTAAAGAAATCTAGGTCGACCAACAGCCTATCGACTACACAATCGACCAGTCGATTACAGTGGGGTCAGTCCTAGATGCACGCCCTGATCACTCCATCATTTTCACTGTTGACTTTCAATATAAAACGCAGGTCAAATGGTTTAAAAACACCGATTTTTGATGGTCTGTGTTTTGAAAATGCTGATTTCTGAACTCTAAAGTTGCCCCATTTGTGACGTATTTCATTGTGCCGTACGTAATTTTCACGGTGTCTTGCCCCGCTACTGAACAGACAAGTTTAGTGTTTGTAACGCAAGATGGAGGAGAGCCTGTCTCTCGTCAGAGATTGCATTTATTTTGGGAGATTGCAAAATATGACCTTTTCATTCAAGGCAGGATAAATATTGTTTCAGGCGATAATAAAACAAGTTTTGTTTAATTACTTTTGTCAACTTGTTTCTCAAACTTCATAGCAAGTCAAGCTAGCTTGCACTGCAGAGCAGCTAGCTAGCTAAAATACATGCTAGGTTGAAGATAGCATTGTAGCTAGCGACCTCCACCTAATAATTATCAAAAACAAATGTCATTACCATCACAATTAACTTAAACGGGAGGCAACAGTCATAATCTAAATTGTCTTAACAGCCAATGTATATTATTTAACATTACTATTAAAATAGTACTAACTTATAGGAATGGGTAATTGTTTACAAGTTGCTAGATATCCCATAAAGCCATCACCGAAAACCACATATTTTCATCTTCTGTGGTTTGGTAACTTCCTGTTCTTCGATGGACTCTCGCAACGGAGCCTTCAACCGCAAGGGGGCGTTGTGTTTCCACGCCGTTGTGGACGTCCCCATTGAAACGCATTACATCCGGGGCAGGCGCTAACATTTCAAAAAGGTCAAGCCCACGAGAGGACTAAGACAAAAGGAATGTTTCGCATCTAGTGTAGAAGCTAGCTATAAAGATTATATTTCCAGTTTGTTACAGAGTCCATCAACTTCGAAATTGACTTCTTGTGTGATAGCAAGAGAACAAGGAATGCTGGAGATTAGCCTAGATCAACTTAGCAACACTGTACTAAGACTGTCAACAAATGAAAACAGGCCAAGAATATTTCAAAGCAACATGTACAAACTACTACTGCACACCAGTAAGGAGTGAATATGCTCATTGCTTTCTAACCCAGTTGTTTTTAAGATGGGGGTGGTGGTCATTTGTGTTTTCCTGTAGTGGGCTACACTCCAGCTCTCTTTCAAGAGTCGGCCTACTGAGAAACACCAAACATGATATTTACTTTCTGTGTGACCCCTCTGCTCCCTCCCTCCAATCCCCTTCCCTGTATAGCTAGGCTGCGTCCAAAATGACACCCTATTCCCTATAGTGCACTACTTTTGACCAGAGCCAGGCCTCTGACCAAAAGTAGTGCACTATGTAGGGAATAGGGTGCCATTTGGGACGCAGTCCTAGTAGCAGGGGAAAGCCCAGTTTCTGTCCAGCCACGCCACCCAAACTTAAAACACTCATACGAGACTTAAAGACTTCCTTTTTTGTAATATTTTTGCAAATGTATTACAAAAACAAAAATTTACACATACGTATTCAGACCCTTTGCTATGAGACTCGAAATTGAGCTTAGGTGCATCCTGTTTCCATTAATCATCCTTGAGATGTTTCTACAACTTGATTGGAGTCCACCTTTGCTAAATTCAATTGATTGGACATGATTTGGAAAGGCACACACCTGTCTATATAAGGTCCCACAGTTGACAGTGCATGTCAGAGCAAAAACCAAGCCATGAGGTCGAAGGAATTGTCCGTAGAGCTCCGAGACAGGATTGTGTCGAGGCACAGATCTGGGAAGGGTACAAAAAAAATTATGCAGCATTGAAGGTCCCCAAGTACACAGTAGCCTCCATCATTCTTAAATGGAAAAAGTTTGGAACCACCAAGACTCTTCCTAGAGCTTGCCGCCCGGCCAAACTGAGCAATCGGGGGAGAAGGGCCTTGGTCAGGGCGGTGACCAAGAACCCGATGGTCACTCTGACAGAGCTCTAGCGTTCCTCTGTGGAGATGTGAGAACCTTCCAGAAGGACAACAATCTCTGCAGCACTCCACCAATCAGGCCTTTATGGTAGAGAGGCCAGACGGAAGCCACTCCTCAGTAAAAGGCACGACAGCCCACTTGGAGTTTGCCAAAAGGCACCCAAAGGAATCTCAGACCATGAGAAACAAGACTCTTGGGTCTGATGAAACCAAGATTGATGTCTTTGGCCTGAATGCCAAGCATCAGGTCTGGAGGAAACCTGGCGCCATCCCTATGGTGAAGCATGGTGGTGGCAGCATCATGCTGTGGGTATGTTTTTCAGCAGCAGGGACTGGGAGACCAGTCAGGATCGAGGGAAAGATGAACGGAGCAAAGTACAGAGAGATCCTTGATGAAAACCTGTTGCAGAGTGCTCAGGACCTCAGACTGGGGCGAAGGTTCACCTTCCAACAGTACAACGACCCTAAGCACACAGCCAAGACGACGCAGGAGTGGTTTCGGGAAAAGCCTCTGAATGTCATTGAGTGGCCCAGCCAGAGCCCGGACTTGAACCCGATCTAACATCTCTGGAGAGACCTGAAAATAGCTGTGCAGCGACGCTCCCCATCCAACCTGACAGAGCTGCAGAGAAGAATGGGAGAAACTCCCCAAATACAGGTGTTTCAAGCTTGTAGGGTCATACTCAAGGCTGTAATCGCTGCCAAAGGGGCTTCAACAAAGTACTGAATAAATGGTCTGAATACTTATGTAAATGTGATATTTCCGTTTCTAAAAACCTGTTTTTGCTTTGTCATTGTGTGTAGATTGATGAGGGGGAAAAAAACAAATGTAATACATTTTAGAATAAGGCTGTAACGTAACAAAATGTGAAAAAAGTAAAGGGGTCTGAATACTTTCCGAATGCACTGTATGTCCAGGGAGCTGGTTGGCTGCAACATGCGGCCATATAAGTTCAAACACAGACTCTCCCCCATGTGAACACACACACGCTTATAGCCCCCACACACCCTGCACTTTATAAAACCACTCCACAGCTGCAATGTTTTTCCACACTGCTATAGAAACCTGCCAATTGTACTGCTTACTGAGCGAAACAGTACCAAAGTTATTTATACCTCAACCAAGAAGATTGAGATTATGTTTCGCTATAGCTAATCAAATTGTATTTGTCACATAAATACAACTGGTGTAGACGGTGTAGACTTTATGGTGAAATGCTTGCCTACGAGCCCTTCCCAACGAACCGGTTTTAAAATAATAAAATAGTAACACGAGGAATACAATTAAATACACAAGAATAGAGCCATATACAGATCAATGTGCAGAGGTACAAAAGTATTAGAGGTAGATATGTACATGAAGGCACGGTAAAGTGACTAGGCATCAGGATAGATAAGAGTAAAATAAAAGAACAGAGTAGCAGCAGGAAATTATGAGTGTAAATGTGTGTGTGCGTGTGTGTAATGTGTGCGTTTGTGTTGTGTTGGTATGCGTGTGCTATGTGTGTGTGGGTGTATGTAGTGTATTTTAATGTGTGTGGGTTTTGTGTGGGAGTGTCAATGTAGTGTGTGTGTATATATAGTCTAGTGAGTTTTCGTAAGGGCAGTGCAAGATAAGAGTCAGTACAGATTGTTTGGGTACCATTAATTTACTATTTAGCAGTCTTATGGCTTGGGGTAGAAGCTGTCTCAGAGCCTGTTGGTCTGTTTGCATGTTGGTAACAGAGTGAACAGTCTATGGCTTGGGTGGCTGGAGTCTTTGGCAATTTTAGGCTAGGCCTAAGTCATGTATCTGAATGGCTCTGCCCCTGAGAGTCCATAGTATGTGGCCTGACAGCATTTTGTTGACTTTCTAGCTAGGTTATTCCCTTCTATATGATCAATGGTGAACTGTGACAGGGTGAACAATGGTGGTGGGGGCTTACCTGTCCTCGTCCCAGTCCATTTGTATGGGTATTCCAAACAGGCTGTTCACAGAGGGGTTGACGGCCAGCTGCAGGCCCTCTGGGGTCTTCATCAGGTTTTTCTCAGAGATGGCGAGAGGCTGGGCCGCCGCGAGGCCCTCCACCTTCCTACCGCCCTCCTCCACCTGGCCAAAACCAGCAGCCAGGAGGCCCTGCGCCCCCCCGTCGTTGTGGGCCATGGGGGCCTGTTGCCCGGGCAACAAGAAGGCAGTCAGGTTTGGCATGGTGGCAGGGACTGCTGCGCCGACATTGGAGGCACTGGGCACAGTGGTGGGCATGCCGGCGATGCTGGTTGTCATGGCTACGACGGCGGTAGGCACGTTTTGGACACTTGCGGGCATGGAGTGGAGGCCGAGGGGCTGAGGCATCCCTGTGAGGGCGTACTGACCCACAGGCTGCTGCAGAGTAGAGCCTCTGCCCAGCAGCATGGAGGCCCCGACACCTCCCATACCTGCACCCATCAGGCCTGGAGCTGGCTGACTGAGGGGTAAAGGGACTCCTCCCCCCACCGCTGCCAACTCCCCTACCTGGCCCAGCATCGGCGCCCCGGCGGCGGGAGTCATGACCGGAGACGGGCCCTGACCCATAGGTTGTCCCACGGAGAGGCTGGCCACGGAAAGGGTCTGGCCAGCCGAGGCCACTGCCTCCATGACAGGCTGGTGCTGTTGGTGTTGGTAGTATTCCGCCTGGTTCTGGGGCAGGCCTGGGGGCTGGTTGGACAGGTGGTGTCCCAGTGGAAGCTGCTGTAGCATGGGTTGCTGCTGCTGGAGAGGGTAGGTCAGCGGCTTGGTCTGGGCTGCCGGGGGCACGCTATGAGATTTCTGTATGTGGATGCCAGTTTGAGGCAGACCGTTGAACCCCACAAGGAGGTTCTGGGGGGCAGCGGGTTGGATAGTGCCCAGCGCAGGCTGCTGAACTGGGACAGCTATGGGTTTGTTGGTGGGGAAAGCGTTGGATGTGGCTGTTCCAGGCTGACCCATGTTGTAGTTTTGGTAGTGGAGCTGCTGCTGCTGTTGCAGTGTGTCCCCTGGGGGAATGTGCAAGGCATTAAGTGCAGCTGCGTCCGCTATAGAGTCTAGGCCCTGGCCTGAGAGAGTTACTGTCAACCCCAGCCCACTGTCCCTGTCGGCGCTGGGGTCCAACGCATTGGCATGCCTAATGTTATCCATAGTCCTGTTAACCACTGTGTTACCCTCCGAGTCTTTCTCATAGAACTCTGTGCAAGTCCATCGGCCCCTTCTGAAGGGCTCTCCAGTACCATGATCAAGTTTGATGACCCTGAAGCGTGAACTGCAACTTGTTGTCGACGTCGTAGTAGAAGTAGGGGTTGAACTAGTCACTACTGGCTGGGATGTGCTCACTGACACGTTGGTAGCCCCCCCACTGGTTGCTGGGGCAGGCTGTTGCATGAGCCTGGACTGAGCGATACTAGGGAGGCCGCTTGAGGAACCAGTTCCCAGAGTTTGCTGGCTAGCATGAGGAGAGCCTGCCACTCCCACCTTTCGAATAGCAAAACCCCCATTTGGGGGACCCGACATTGAAGGTAGCTGCCCAACTTGAGGTATAACGTTGCTATGTGGCGGTGCCATAAGGCCAGGTGCCTCTTGCTCCCCTACATGGTTTAGTGTTTCCTCAGATGAACTTCGATCACATACCTCTGGCTCATAATCGGCCCGGGACACGTCGAATATTTCCGACGACACGTCTTCAGTCCGTGATTCGTCTGGGTCGTCCAGGCTCTCTGTGTCGTCCGTGGCACTGCTGGCCGCCACCTGAGCCTGTGTCACACTTGTGATCTGAAAACAGCTCTTCTTTTTAGCCGGCATTTTAGACATTTTGAGAGCCTGCGTTTACAACTCTAGTCTAAATACCCTGCGTCAAAAGCGAGTGAGCTAGTATCAGCTGACAAATGGCTATCTGAAACAGCGTATTTGCATCGATTTCAGTTTTTCTATTATCAAGATGAGTATGTCATCCTTCCTCCTCTCGTCTCCTGTTGCATTTTACGAGTTCATAACATTGAAGACCGACCCTCTCAAGTCCAGAAATGCGGTGTTTGCCAATAAGTAGCTAGCTATTCAATAACTGGTCCAAAGCTTTGATCCGTCCGAACCGGCCTGCCCAATAAGTAATGTCCCGACTCCGTAGTTGTCAGATAGCCGCTGTCGCAGATAGAGCTCCCCAGCTGCAGGAGCTACTTTAGTCTGAGGCGGGCCCGTACCCCTCCACTCAAAGAGCTAACGTTGGCTAGCTAGCTTGCTAGCTACAACACTCCTCTACGTTGGAACAAGTATGTAAGACATCATGCGGAACAAGTCTACTCTCCCCTCTTGACTTGAGAATTAAAAATTATTCAATACTAACACCTGTTTAAAAGGTCAATGTAACACATTTCCAAGAATACACTGTCTCTATTTCACACTTCATGGAACTGACATTCCAAACAGCGCCTCCCCTACCTCATTCTTGTCAAGAAGATGACTAGCTAGTTATGTCAGAGAGGAAGAGGCAAAGCGAGAGGGTTTACTCCGCCCAAAATCTGTCCACGAAAATAACACTACCAATGAGGAATTGTTGTATGGAGGTCAATGACAGTGTCGAATTTGGTCAACAAAAAATGTAATTGCTAATTTGCTACGTGAGGCTTATTTGATAGAATATCGAACGCACGGATATAAGTAGAAGCACGTAGAATTTCGGCAACTTAGTAAAAACTACTTTATATCGGAGTTGTAACTGTTGTTCACAAGCGTATCTGCCCTCTCATTACTTAGAATGCCCCACAAGATCTCGTATCTTCCCGCCTGCCTTCCATCTTCAAGGACATGTATTTCCGTTGTTAGAGCAGTCACTCGACAATCTTGTCAATATAACAGAAAATATTTGGTTACGTACAATCGCACGGCATCGTGGGTAGCTAACGCAACCATATTTACGTACATGATGATTGAGAATTTCATTTATCTTTCTCTCTCTCTCCCTCTCTCTCTCTCTCTCTCTGGCACCCTCTCTCGCTCTCGCTCTGTCGTGACATACTTACAAAATTTTTAGACCATATGTCTTATTTATTTTTAGACCATTTGTATTATTTGAAAGGCATTTATACATTACATTTTGTATGTTTCTTTCAAGATCTCTCAATTTAAGACAACATTTGAAATATTTAAAATGTTAACATGTTAAACTTGTTTGCTATTTGTATTACTCACTTGGCTGACATCACCCTTTTGGGGGGGGGAAGGGGACTGCACCCCTTACTATCCTCAAGGGATGGGTGAATAACAATATTGAAGGGAGCAGGAACAATCCTAAATAAAACCCTGCCATGTACCCCCGGGGGTCTTTGTGTTGAACCGGTTCTCATTCAGCACACCAATGTATGCAAATCTTAAAATATTCAGTCAGTTCAATAGAACTATAGATGGTTGTGAATCCCTCGCAAAATACACTATATATACAAAAGTATGTGGACACCCCTTCAAATTAGTGGATTCGGCTATTTCAGCCACACCCGTAGCTGATGTGTATAAAATCGAGCAAACAGTCATTCAATCTCCATAGACAAACATTGGCAGTAGAATGGCCTTACTGAAGAGCTCAGTGACTTTCAACGTGGCACCGTCATAGGATGCTACCTTTCCAACAAGTCAGTTCGTCAAATTTCTGCCCTGTTAGAGCTGCCCGGTCAACTTTAAGTGCACACAAGCCTAAGATCACCATGCACAATGCCAAGGGTCGGCTGGAGTGATGTAAAGCTGGCCGCCATTAGACTCTAGAGCAGAGGAAACGTGTTCTCTGGAGTGATGAATCACGCTTCACCATCTGGCAGTCCGACGGACGAATATGGGTTTGGCAAATGCCAGGAGAACACTACCTGCCTGTATGCATAGTGCCAATTGTAAAGTTTGGTGGAGGAGGAATAATGGTTGTTTTTAATGGGGCTGTTTTTCGTGGTTCGGGCTAGGCCCAACAGTTCCAGTGAAGGGAAATCTTAACGGTACAGCATACAATGATATTCTAGACGATTCTGTGCTTCCAACTTTGTGACAACAGTTTGGACAAGGCACTTTCCTGTTTCAACATGACAATTCCCCCGTGCACAAAGCAAGGTCCAGACAGAAATGGTTTGTTGAGATCGGTGTGGAAGAACTTGACTGGCCTGCAAAGAGCCCTGACCTCAACCCCGTTGAACACCTTGGGGATGAATTGGAACGCCGTCTGCGATCCAGGCTTAATCGCCCAACATCAGTGCCGACCTCACTAATGCTCTTGTGGCTGAATGGAAGCAAGTCCCCGCAGCTATGTTCCAACATCTAGGGGAAAACCTTCCCAGAAGAGTGGAGGCTGTTATAGCAGCAAAGTTGTGACCAACACCATATTAATGCCCATGATTTTGGAATGACATGTAGTGTAGTTTGCATTAGGATTTGGCAAGTTAGAACCTGTGCCTAAAGATATTTAGGTTTGACATTGTTCATAGTATAACTGCCTTAATTTAGAGGGGGATTCCAAGCACGTCATGATGATTTTTGTTTTAGTAGTTTGAGATTATTGGATTGGTCCTAATATTACCCAACTTCTTCAAAATTATGTCATTTTCATTTATCTCTGCTCTAATGTCACCATGAGATCTCATTTTCCAGGTGGGCTGTAATATTGTATTTCTTTAGATGCTTATTTACTGAATTAGCTCTTGGTAACTTTCTTTGCTTTGGGCCACAGCAGCAATATGCAATGTCTTATGACTACAATTCTCTGATCACCAGACTTGGTTGTATTCGTGTCCTTTACAAATTGGTCATAGTGCTGTATCAAAGCATTTTAGGCACTTTATGAACAGCCTCCACTGAAAAACCCATGATTCAGTTCTTATACTTGAAAAAGAAAACACTGCGTAACCCTGCACAGTCTGCGTAACATCGCTGACATATTTCTGGTGTGGCATCAGGTAGTTACATAGATAGATAATGTGTTCTTTGTCACTAGAGGAACATAAAAGCATTACATATCAAAGGGAATATGTGGTTTAGAATATGTATATAATGGTCTTAGCAGTTTTGTTATATACACAAATCCCAATTTACATCCATATAGCACAAAGGGAATGTTCTTTACAAATTTCCTAGAAACTTGGTTTGATTTAATTGGGCATTTTAAGGTAAAACTTTGCATACATTTTACATACATTATAGACAAAACAGGTTTTTCTGGATATTTGTTTGCACTAAACTTTTACCCACATAATACAGTATATTTAAAGGAGTCATTGAAAGGGAACAGAAGAAAACAGTATGAACCAGTGGCATGTTCACAAACCTGAGGAAACTGAATTGGTTGAATTGGTTATCTTTTGTAACCCTTTTGTAATGTTTTGTAAGGTTTGTGCTAGAAAAAAGACTGCATCAGAACGGCTTTGACATACGGTTTCTGGTTGATTTTCCTGTAACTTATCTGGGCCAAGCTCTGAGCAACATCAGTTATAAACAGAATGATAATTCAATAGATGTTGATGATGGAACAAAAATGGTTCCATTGTTTTTCATGAAAGGATTTCATTATTCAGTAGGTGATATTAACAAATCATTTGGTTCTTATCTTATCAGTAGTGTCATGATAGAACTCTTCCCTACCCTAATTGTATTTTTAACATTTAGGTATCAGTATGTGTATCAACATTTAGGGTAAACTATTAACTCCAAACTGCAGTTTGCCACTGCTCCTAGACTTATAGAAAAAGGCTCTATATTCAATTTGTAAGAAATAAGAAGCCAGAGCTAATATAAATGACTCTTTCTTGAAGAGTAGATTCTTGAAGATTCTTGAAGAATCTGGACAATCTAAAATATCTACAGTGCCTTCAGAAAGTATTCAGACCCCTTGACTTGTTACACATTTTGTTGTGTTACAGCCTGAATTCAAAATTGATTAAATTGATTTTTTTCTCACCCATCTACACACAATACCCCCTAATGACAAGGTGAAGACATGTTTTTAGAAATGTTTGCAAATGTATTGAAAATTAAATACAGAAATATGCATTTACATAAGTATTCACACCCCTGAGTCAATACATGTTAGAATCACCTACAGTGGGGAGAACAAGTATTTGATTCACTGCCGATTTTGCAGGTTTTCCTACTTACAAAGCATGTAGAGGTCTGTAATTTTTATCATAGGTACACTTCAACTGCGAGAGACGGAATCTAAAACAAAAATCTAGAAAATCACATTGTATGATTTTTAAGTAATCATTTGCATTTTATTGCATGACATACTGTAAGTATTTGATCACCTACCAACCAGTAAGAATTCCAGCTCTCACAGACCTGTTAGTTTTTTTTTAAGAAGCCCTCCTGTTCTCTACTCATTACCTGTATTAACTGCATCTGTTTGAACTTGTTACCTGTATAAAAGACACCTGTCCACACACTCAATCAAACAGACTCCAACCTCTCCACAATGGCCAAGACCAGAGAGCTGTGTAAGGACATCAGGGATAAAATTGTAGACCTGCACAAGGCTGGGATGGGCTACAGGACAATAGGCAAGCAGCTTGGTGAGAAGGCAACAACTGTTGGCGCAATTATTAGAAAATGGAAGAAGTTCAAGATGACGGTCAATCACCCTCGGTCTGGGGCTCCATGCAAGATCTCACCTCGTGGGGCATCAATGATCATGAGGAAGGTGAGGGATCAGCCCAGAACTACACGGCAGGACCTAGTCAATGACCTGAAGAGAGCTGGGACCACAGTCTCAAAGAAAACCATTAGTAACACACTACGCCGTCATGGATTAACATCCTGCAGCGCACGCAAGGTCCCCCTGCTCAAGCCAG